TCGAAACCCACTCCTCTAATGACCAGACAGGGAGTACTTCGAAACCCACATTACGGACCAGGCCCAGGGTATTCCCCATGTACCTCAGAAAAAAAGAAAAAGGCTCCAAGAGCGATTTCTCAATCTGAACCACCCACAACCCACAACACACAACACACAACCCACAACCCACAACCCACAACCCACAACCCACAACCCACAACCCACAACCCACAAACACCACAACCCCCCCCCCCCCCCCCCCCCTGGAACCAGGACCGGGGGGGGGGGGGGGGCTCCCCCAAAAATTAAAAAGCTAACCAATTAAAAATATCCTTCCCATGAGTCCAAAAAAACCTTGTAATTTACTGGGATGGCCCATCTCTCCCCCTTCGTCGGCTTGTCACTGGCCGGTGGGGCATCCAAGCCGAGAGTGATTATTCACATAGTCGTCACCACTTTCAACAGTTCGGCCAACCAGCCAAAAACAAATCATAGATCGCGGATGCTAGTTTAGCCTTTAGGGTATAACAGAGCTCCGAGTGTCTGACGACATCGCCCCTCGGGTCAACATTCTTATATACAGTCGTCTCCTCACTCCAACTTAGATTGAGATGAATGTCCTTTTTGGAATTTCCTCTTTCTGATTTTCACTTCTCCCCCATGCCCTCTCTCTCTCTCTATATATATATATATATCTATATATATATATATACATCTTACTAACACTCTAATCTTCTGCTTGCCTCCTTTATTTGAGGTTTTGCCTCATCTCGTATCAATTCTTTTTACCACAAAGGGCGCGCAAAGGTCGCAACAAATTGTTTTCCACACTTTGTTGCACCCACCCTGGATGTTGATCTGTTTTGCTCTGTGGAGATAACTGTTGATTGTCAAAGCAAATTGATATCGGTTCTGGCCACCATTGCGCCTGTCGTTTTCCGATCGTTAAAATCTAGTCGCTCGCTTTTTTATATTATCGCAAATCAATGTTTCGTAATCGGTACGTTACATAGTATCTCTGCATTCGATCACCAAGCGACTCTTCCCGTCAGGCGCAATTGCAGGGTCATCTTTTGCTCAAACTCTCTGCCGTATACAGGAAAAACTCACAGAAGCCGGGCGAGGAGCTCTACTCCCACTTCAAACAGAAATTTCCCGAAATCTGCCAGGAACCTGCGCCAAAAGCGGCGCCCGTCGCTACTGACTCGATCCTAGCCGATGCACATGTGAAACAAGCTGTACAGCATATGTAAAGCCTTATCTTTCTTTATACGCTAATCGCACGTTCCTGCCGCCTGTTGAGTTGAAAATACACTGACCTCTTTTCCCAAGAGGTTATTTGGGGTTGATGTGAATAAAATCGCCTACTGACCAAGAATCGCCTGTAAGTAGAGCAAACATGGATACCGACAAAAAACTAGTCTCGGAACAAACGCCAAAAGGTCTCCCTGATCAATGGCGGTTTACTCCTTCCATCATGGATCCCAATTCATACGCCTTTACGTCGCTTGCAAATCAACCCTCCACCTATTATGCCGCGACGCCGAACGGCATGGGCATGCCCTCCCATACCCAAGTTGCCGACCTATCTACTCCCGGCATGGCTCTCAATTTACTCTCACCACTCGCGATCCCCCCGGGTACATCCGCCGGCGATGCTGCTGCAATACAGTCTACAATTGACATGAACTCATTTACCCATCCGTTTGCTCACCATGCGGGGAACGGCGTTGATAATTTCCATCAACAACATGCATACGCCCCAAGTACTTTCGTCAATCGAGATCCCAGATATGGTCCCGTAAATGTTGAAAATTCACCTATCAATGGAATGAATGGGAACAATCATATGGTTTTGCTCAGTCACGGAGTTGACTTGATGGACAATCGCCCAGGCCCAAGGGGAGAGAAGTAGGTGTTTCCTTTTATTATCTTAATAATGCTTTTTATTATTTTGAGCATTGCTTTAGAAAGGAGAAAATGCTTACACTTACGTTTTAGCTTTCGGTTCAACGTTACTCTAAGGGCGGCAACGGCGATGGTTAAAGACCCCGATGAGGTCCCCACTACATATCTTAACAAGGGGCAAGCTTACACAATGACAATTTTGGATACCGCACCGTTGACGTCAGGCACACAACCGTTGAAATACCGCACCTTTATTCGAGTTTCGTTTGAGGACGATGAGCAGCGTTCAAGGCCGGCCGGTTGCTGGCAACTTTGGAAGGAAGGCCGCGGATCTAACGAAGCCCATCATCGTGATGGGAAACTTTTGGCTGTTGAACATGTAGATCCAAATCAAGGCGGAGACGGAGATATCAGACAATCTCAGGTTCATCTGGAAACCGCCAATTTTGACGGCTTCTCTGTTATTTGGTCACCTAGCCCAGCCACAGGGAATCCCAGTTGTTCGATATCGGTCCGCTTCAACTTCTTATCGACTGATTTCAGCCACTCCAAAGGCGTCAAAGGAATTCCTGTTCGTTTATGTGCGAAAACAGAAGTTGTTCCTACAAGTCATGTAGACGCTCCCCTTGACCGCCCGGAGGTATGCTATTGCAAAGTGAAGCTGTTTCGAGACCACGGGGCCGAGCGAAAGCTCTCAAACGATATTGCACATGTCAAAAAAGGTATCGATAGGGTGAAACAACAAATCAGCCAGGCTGAACTTGGAGCCGGCGCTGATAAGAAAAAACGCAGTGGCTCCTTCGCCAAGGGAAAAATTAACAAGCATAAGAGAACATGGTCGGGTGACTCGCACAATGAGTCGGGGAGATCTTCTCTGGAAGAAGATCTCCAGATGAAGCTGCGCAGCCTGAAAGATATGTTTTCGTCCACGCGACCTCTTAGCGTTCTCAATTTGAAAGGAGATCCGCAGGACGACCCCGATCTTTTCCCGGTGCAGCTTGGAATTAATGACGATAGTTACTCTCACACAATAGGCTGGGAGTCCCGAAATAATACAGATGGATCTCCGATTGCATCCCAGAACATGTTATCACCCACAGCAAGCAGCCATTCGCTTTGCTCGTCTCACAACTCTTTTGATCTCAAATCAAGCTACCCCCATCCATCATCGATCTGCGAAAATGGGCGCCACGACTCAATGGATTGGTCTAGTGTTTCCCAGCATGACTCCGATAGCCAGCATCAAGGGAGGCATAGCCGGATCTTAAACAACCCTGTGAAGGTCGCAAAGGTTTCTTCCGGCAACCGTTCCGGCCTTGATAGCTGGATTGAAGCAATGGACGTCGACACCAGTTACCAGCCACCATTGGCCGCCCCAAAAAAACCCAGTACGTAGCCTTCAACCCCCAAGTCTGCGCCCTTTATTGGTCTAACGTCTGCTGGCAGCATCATGTTTTTACGTTCAAGTGCGACAATCCAGTGGCGGACCCATTTTGGATGGCTATTACCATGCTATCTACCTAACACAACGCACAGCCAAGGACCTTATACATGCCGTCTCGAAAAAATGCAAAATAGATGTGTCACGCGTTGTTCGAGCTCTTTGTGTCCGCGGAAATGGACTCCATATTGTTTTGGATGACGATGTTGTTAGTGAGTTGCCCGAAGGGCAGGATATGGTTGCTGAGGTTTTGGAAGTACGCGATTGCTCTCTTGACGCAAGCACGGATGGAGACTCATCGACATCATCGACAACTTCTGGAATTGAGTTGAAATTGATCTTTTGATGGTCTTATCTAGAGCTATTTTGTTAGCTGCGAACCTCTTTTTCACTGGCTGGTTTCGGAAGGGGGAGGGGGGTGGGGGGTTTCTTTTATTTTTTCCTTTGCGGATACCTTTTGCTTCCTATTTTAGTACCCCACTGTTCTGCTTGAATCTGTTCGGTGTTGGCGTACCTGTTTTCGTGTCAATATCGCTTATACCCCTTGGGTCCGAGTCGGATCTCGATGAGGCAACTCTATTCCAATGAACCCCGGTGCTTCATTTTTTTGGTGGCGCCGAAGACTTAATCTTGACCCTGGGTTCCAAGTTCCCGGTGCAAACGAAGCTTTTATGTCTACGATCTAATGAGACCCCACGCCATTTTGATGAGAAGGAACGAAAGGAATTTCAGAAATGAGTGTTGGAACGGACGAAAAGAAATTGTATAGAAGATTTATGAAGACTTGACGAATCTTCCTTCCATTCTTCTGGTTGGCTGTTGTTTATTTTTGCTTCTCATTCTGTTCCTTTTCCTTCTGGCTGTGGCTGCTTTGTCTTGTCATAAAACGTTTTTGTCTCTCGGGCTTTGCAACCGTTGGTTCCCGGTTTCCCCGTTTCGCCTAACAATATCTCGTGTATTTCTTTTTACTGTCATTTACGATGTTAATACCCTCTATACCAGGGCGGCTATTTGCTTTTTTTTTCCATAGGAAACGTGCGTTCTGGTTGGCTTTTCCTTTCTTTCTTTTTCTTTTCTTTTCATTGGAAAATAGCGTTTCCTCTTCATTTTTTTTTTATTATTATTTTTTTAATCCTGGTTATATTTTTGATGACTTCGGATTTATTTTAATTTGTACCTTTTGCCTCTGAAATAAATATGGGGGCTATATTAATATTTTATGCACAAAGGGACACATACAATCGATTTTGCTTCCCAGGTCTTTGCCCTTTCAACTTCTTTTTTTTTTCCCTGGTGGATTTCATCTTTTCTTTCGCCATTTGATATTCCTAATGTACGATGGAATGGACTCTTCCTTTCTGTGCCTGTGTACTCTTTTGGTGGGGAGTAACTTGAGGAATTGTAATAAAGGGTGGAGGCTTGTTCCCTTCCTGAAAGACAAGCTGATTATTTTACATGTGGTTGTATGTATAACAGTCAGTGCCCTGTATTTTGCCTCATTTAGTATATTCTTATCAAGCACATGTCTGATGTATCTACGCATCCAGATGCTCGCCATGGTCATTTGTTAAAAACTGTTGTTCCCCAAGGGTTCCTGCCAGACGTTGCATGGCGATAACTGGAATGAAACACATCTCAATTTAGCTCATTTGTTTCAGCCACATTCGATGATGTATCTGTCATTGAATAATCTGTTCATTGCTCAACTGGGGTTTGAGGCTTTTTTTTATGCGGTGCTTGGTGTTGCAGCATTATGCATCCCTGTATGTGTTATTCGTACAGTGCATGCAATGATTTCCAGATATCATGATCGTCGTCGTCGTCATCATCATCATCATCATCATCATCATTGGCATCGTGGCCCCACTGGTTGACCCAGACCGACAAGATCGCTGTAATAGATGTAAAAGGAGTTTGTAATCTACTTCGAATGTGACTTGCTTCCGCATATACACGTCCAGATGGAATATAGAGGCGTCATACATACATGCCCGAAGCATCTAAGTACGGTGGAGCCAAGCTAGCAGCTAGTCGGTCGATACATCTTTATAGTAGTCTAAGCCACCTCGTCACCATCTATCTCATGTATTCTTATCGATAAGACAGTTTCAAGTATTGATGTTGTATTGTTACATGCTGCTGGCATTAACTCTGCGAATTGTTCGCGCTTCGCAAAAGTACATATCCAGTATTGATGTTGTATTAATATATGTTGCTGGCATTAGCTCTGTGAATTGTTCGCGCTTCGTTGAAGTACGTGCATGTCTAGTACTTATGTACATTGGACCCATCTAGGTACATAGATGCGAGCTAATGCATGCAGGGGAAGTGTTGTAGTGATTCATGCATACAGCGGTCACGGACAGTATGTACCTGGGCATATAAACCAGGCCCATGTGGAGAAGTCGAGAAAAGGTGCTGGCATTAGTGAGTTGTTGGGCTGAATGGGCGTGTGTGCGTATGTGTGGAACTGTACAAATTATACGCTTTATGGCGGTTGGAATCGTGGCTTGACGTTTCTCCAAAGACGGGAAAGTCGTTGGGAGAAGAGGGATTTTTTGCCAATACGCAGAGTCATTTAGAGATGTTACTATTTCCTCCCCTTCGGGGGTGGATTTTGCCTCTCTCGCATTGGCTGTTTTTTGTTAGTGTGAACGTTGTGGTATGACAAGGGATCTGATGATCATTGTTGACAGATATGTAGTTGAACTCATTTGGCTTTTTCTGGGTGCCTTTGGACGGGAGTCTATTTGTTTTGATTTTAGATATACTTTTCTTTTCTTTGCTTTTTTTTTTTTTATTTTTTTTTTTATAAAAGCAATGATGGTTTATCAGAGTTTATCTAGATGAACCAATAAAAATTGAGTTTTTGTGTAGAGGATGGTCCCGGAACTGAAATGCCCAAAGAAGAATTTCAACTGGACATGAAGAAATAATTTATCCGCAGAAATGCTATTTCTTGATAACCAAACATGGAGCGATATCAACAAGAACTAGCTGAATAAAGATTTATTGATTCTCTCCTTTCTTTCAGAAGCGGCTGGAGGGGGGAAGAGCGAAAAACTATTCATCATTCATGACTCGCCTTGTTTTCTTCCTTGGATGATTGCTCTCCTGGCTTGCTTCTCTTCCAGATGTTGTGTGATTGGGTACCCCTGCAGATGCAGATATCAACCGCTGCAGAATTGAGCGACAGGGCGCATAGTCATGAGTCAAAATAAGTATATGTAGAACGGTGGTTTAGAGCTCTAACTAAAGTCCACTAGTTAAACTTTGGGGCTTGTAGTTTAGAGCAATGGGCAGCAGCAGTGAAATACATAATGGTATCTCTCGGAAGGAGTGCTGCGTAACATACTTTAGGTACCGAGCTTCTGCAGATGAAACAGAATGGGGAGGCACGGAACCCCTTTTGTTGTAGTGAGAGTTAGGTTTTTAAATCCAGTGTTTTGTTCGGGTGAAACAAAATAGAGTGTTTTTTGCCTCAACCCCACCGGCTCCATATCACTCTACGGAAACCAATGGATGCCCAGCATGTGGCGGATAGACGGAGTGAGAGATGCATGCACCAACTCAGAATTGAAATCCTCAATCGGAAAAGTGAAACAGTGGGGGGAACTGTTCCTGTTGAACCCAATTAGCTTAATCGCTTAAGTGGATGTTCTGCACTTTGTCGTTAGCTAGGATGATAAAGTGCAAACTGTCAAGGGTGAAGGATTTGGTACGTGCATATCTCCGAAATAAAAATGTGGAACCACTCAACCTGCACCCTTCTTTTCCATCACTTTGATCATTATTTTTCGTGAGAGATGATATCATGATGACGATTGTGGCTGCTTTGTTATATCTAGATGAGCGATCATATCACGTGATATATTTATTCTAAAGATTCGTTTGATGACGTCGATGGGCCTACAGGAAATATTGAATATCGAAGTCTGGGATCATAAGGCGTTCATTGCATGGTGAGAGTGGGGGTGGCATACAGAAACTGAGAAATGACCTCAAAGATGTATTGTAATTGACTGGATGTATTGTAACTTCTGCCAACAGTCAATTCTCTAACAATAGAATGACTGAGATTCTAATGGGAGCTGTTGGAAAGGGATACCACGTCTGAGATTGAATAAATTCTCGTCTCAGTCTCCAAGAAGAGGAGGTTACATCTACGCCACTCAAAGGGCCAGAGCTACCTGAGGAACATATAGGAGGAACCTTTCATGTTGAATTCAAGATGTGAAAGTGCTGATATTGGAAACGAGATATAGAAGAGAGATTGATAGATTCCTTTCAAAAACAGTGATTCTGTAATATCTGATATCTTTATGCTCTAGAGATCTGCAACTATCCATCTGTGAAACCATGAAGTTTCTGTCTGATATTTTAGTTCTTACTATTGTTGACTGTGGATAGGAGTTGTTCTATTAGCTCTATATTGTTTGTCATTATCATGAAGGAGAAAATTTACCTACTTGGTTTGATAAATAAGTTATGCTCCCCCTCAGATTAGGCATTGAGGGTTCTCTACAGGGTTCAGCTATGTCTAACAGACTCACGGCCAATGTTCAGAACCGACTGCTTTTGCGGGGGAAAGAACTGCTTTTCTCAGTGTTCTTTTTGTCATGCCGGGCCTTCACAAACCAGGATGGACAGACGACTCTGCAGTCTTCTAGAAGTCCGAATGCGGGCAGGCTGAATATTACCTGGTGTAGCGCGATCGCCATCCATTAGCCCTCTCGTATTACAGCTGCCGCGCGTTTGATATGGTTCGAAATGGCGGCATCTAAGTCAGCATACAAGGATCTCGCGCATCCCAAAAGCAGAAGGTGTAGGAACAAGCACGAAACTTAAAAAGACTTATTGGCTCAGGAATAATAGTGGTAGGGAATAATCATCATTGTTAAGCAGGAGAACTGACTGGACAGCAGGAGGCTGTTCAACAATCCAATTCTTTCTCGCAGCCACATGGAGATGATGATTTCCTGGCGCCGTTTGAAAAGTACAGGACTCGCCCGATTCCACATGGTGTCTGGTGTTCCAACTCCCTCCTCATGAAACCCAGTCTGAAGCAACACCGCCTTATGGAGTTAGCAAATTAATCTCAAAGTAAATCTGAGGTTGCTGAGCAATCTCAATTGCAGCGTTTATCGGAATCAGAGGGCCATATCCATTGTAGTTTGCAGGGATGCCCAGAACCATCAGGTCGCTGCCAAAAATTGAGAGCAGGTGGCTACCGGTGTCGTTGAGCATCGTGATATGTATGCAGAAGACAGGTCAGGCTCTCCGGTTCGTGGTGAGAGCTGTCGACCAAACCGCAAAGATTAGAGAGTAAGTAGATTGGCATTGATGGAAGAGACACATACTTTTGACCACCAAGCACGGCCAAATCCAAGATCCTGCAGATCATCAACAACAACAACAACAACAACAACAACAACAACAACAACAACTTTCCCATCTTGGATGGGCCTGTTGGGCCGTGGGAGCGTTATTATCCTCCATGAAAACCACATGGGGAATGATTTCATTGACATGCGCTTGACCTCTCCCCCGAAACCTAAAAAGGGGTTGGAATGGAACGATGTCTTTTTGCAGGACGTCTGTCTGTGTTCTGGGAATGCTCGATTCGTCTATGCAGAGCGGTGTATATGGTGCTCTGAGGTCAAGAGCTCTTGCGTATTAAACTTGCAGTTGTTGGCTAGCTTGAATGCAGCGGAATCTCTCCAGTTTATTTTCTGACCGGAGAGGCCTACCTTGAAGCTTAGAAGAGAGATAGGGGGGGGGGGGGGGGTTGGGGTTCTTTCATTGCTTGTTTTCCAACCTGGGGTAATCGTATACTCGGAGATGCCCACCACGTAAAATCAAATGCTATCCGAGACATGGAAGATTCCTCTTTGTAAGATTTAGCTAGGAAAAAATAAATATGTTGGGGATTTGTTTTTCTTTTATGGGAAAACGATAACGATTCCATATTGCCGCCCCCTTTCCCAACTTGAAGTTCCACCACTCTGTTACACGCTCCCTCGTAGCCAAGAAACTCCACTAAGCTGATTCCGCCGCGGAGCGGAAAACATCGTTGGTATGGCAAAACAGGCAAAACAGGGAAAACAGTTTCCTATGCCAAGACAGTGGCTCAACTGTCAGAGTGGTGTAGCTCACTGTTCAGATATGTGACTATCCCAGGATGGTTTGTGAGCAGGTACACGGCCCTCTTCCTCCCCTTCCTCCCATTTCCCCCCATTATGTCCAGGGATTCATTCTCCTTTGGGCAGCAGCAATACAACACAACACAACATCACAACACATTTGCCCAACATTGCAAAACAGAGTAGGACATAGCAACAGGAGGGTTGCCAGGCTCCTGCTGCACTCTCCAGCTCTCGCTTGTCACTAGTGCACAAATCAGGGGGGTATAAATTCTTGTCACACACCCTTGTTTCTCTCTCTCTCTCTCTCTCTCTCTCTCTCTCTCTCTCTCTCTTCTTTTCTTTCTTTTCTCTCTTGTCCTCTCCATAGCACAATACCCGTCTTTCTACATTGTGTCGCCAGCCACATCCTTCATCAAATCTAACTCTTCAATTTCCATCTCACTCGTTACACACAGCCATCTCTGTTCCCTATCTTCTCCCCAGATCTTCGTCCCACAGACGGTGCTCAGATCACCTCAATCTCAATACCATCAACAACATGTCTGCCAAATATATCGTCTATCTGGCTGTTCTGGTCTTCGCCACCATGGCATCTGCTACCAGTAAGTTCCTTTCACAGCCTGCTCCCCCTGACTCGAAACCAAACCACTCCCCACCCTTCAAATTCCTTTCCTCTACCACCATCCCTAGGATGACGCCGCAACGAAACAGCTGTGATGTCAAACGACGCATGGCTGACCTTGGGCGCCTTCCAGATACCCCCCACGTTGCGAAGGAGGCTGGTAAGTTGCAACCAAAACATGCCAGAAGAAATGCACTGCCAATCTGTTTGCAACGCGATTGGACGTGTTGGGGCCTTCTAACAGGTCTTCAGGGGCCGTCAACCACGCCCGTGGAATAGAGAACAACAACGTCGTTGCCAGCCTTGTCGCTCGCCAGGGTAAGTGCAACTCCTATCAGTGATTGGTTTTCAGGGGTTGCCATCACCGTGCCTTCCCATCCTTCTTCCCCTAGCTTGCCTGCCCCTTTCCCGACGTAGCAGACAGCCATATATACCCATCCACTGACACCTCCCAGTAGAAACTGTTACTGTCACCGCTATCTCTACCATTTGTGGCTGCGGACCTGCCCCTGTTCCTTCCACGTCCTCCAGTGTTTCCCAGATCCTGAGCACTGAGACACCACCTACTCCAGCCCCCGTTCCCGTAACCTCTTCCAGCATTGCGACAACTCCCTGGACCACCCCCACTGTCTCTCCTCCAGCCTCTACTGTTGTTGGTACAGGGGCCTCCTCTGTGGCCAAGAGCTCAAGCCTCATCTCCTCTGCTCCCAAGGTCACTCCTTCAACCTCTAGCACTATTCCCTCCAGCACCCCTACCCCTCCACCCTCAAACGATGCAATCCGCAACAGCGGCATTGGAATTGCAATTCTCGCTGGTGCAGTTGGTTTTGTTGCTCTCGTAGCAATGTAAACGTCCCCCATATAGCGTGACTGTACGAAATTCAGATGGTTTCATCAAATCAAGGGATCACGAGCTGACTGTTTGCATGATTAACCAAACATACTGTACCCCCCAATCACATGTATGCAATATGGCATCAAATGATTTTTTCCTTGCTGTGTTATGGTGACGTTATGGCTGTTGTCAACAACGCTTGGAATGTATGTTACTTGGCGGTTTGCGCGTTGCAGTTTTTAATGGGATAGGAACGGTGGAGTATGTAGTTTAAAGGGAATAATCAAACAACATTCCAAGGTCCCTTAATAAACTTCAACAACCTTGTGAATTGGTTTCTACGCCTCGGAAAGTTACCTACATGTAGCATTCCCTGGTATTCCCTGGTTCCGCAACGCCCTAGACATGCTTCAGTTCTTCTCCCCCCTGAAAACCAGCAGTCACATCGCTAAGAATAATGCATTCAAAAACCCTCCTCGACTCGTCCCTTGGTTGAGTTGTACTTGGTGCTGAGGGTGTATACAGTGGCTGACACGATACAAAACGAGCTGGATGACGCACTGGAGGTCTGGCCGGGGGGGAGGGAAATCGGAAGATAGTACTCGCTCGCAGAAACAGTCCAAACCAGGAGGGTAGAAAAGCAGCAAGTAGTCAACATGAGTACTGCATTAGGCTGCTTTGGTGTGGCTTTAAGAGGGGTTGGGAGGGGTCCACTCTGTAGACCGTATATCGACATGATTTCCATATCATGAGCAGCTCTATAGCCTTCTTCGGTGGGAAGAGGTTGCGAGGATTGATAGGTGGAATGGATTGGATTGGGTTTGGTTATATTAGCCGCAGAGCCTGTAATCACGCACATGAATGCTGGAGAGTCCACTCTTGGCCTGGGGACTTGATGATAGAAAAAGTTCAAGGAGAACTAGTGGTCAAGTAGCAAACCTGCCCCATTACCAGATCCCCGCCCCACCTTCCCTTGTGAGTATCGCTACCCCTTTCATCAAATGCAATGAATTGCATTAAGCAACAACATTAACAAGCAGAATCCAAGGGTGAGAGTTCACAACACCACAACGCCCCCCCGCGCCGCGCCCGCCGCTCTCCTCTTCAATGCGCAGATACCGCATCCGTCTCCGACTTTATCACGTAGCAGCAATGCATTGGTCACCTTGGGACCGACGGTGCGCGAGAGCAAGGGGGAGAATTGGGTGCTTGTGTAGTCCTGCAGGAGTGAGCTTGGCGCGGGTGTCTGTTGTTGTGATGGGGATTGTATGGGGCAGGTGGGTGGCTGTGGGGGATCTGTGGCTGAGGGATGTTGTGTGAGGGTTTCGTCTTGGTGGGGTGGGCGTGCGTGGGCGTGGTGGAGGTGGGAGACGTGGAAGATATGGCCGCAGGCGAAGCCGATGAGGGGTTCGGTTTCTGTTTGTTGTTAGCTGGGTATTAAGAAGGGGCAAAGGGGGAAGAGGAAATTGTATCTTTATTGTATTCAGAGAGATAGGGGTCGAGATGAGCAGTGAAGAGACATGTGGAGCAATATACATACCGTGCTCGATGAATAGCTTGTGACATCCAGCACAACGGCCTGGTTGTGGCCCCTCGGCTTCCACCGTTTCCTGTTTATGGCGGCCTGGTTCATTGTTCAGCTGGACGATATCAAACTTGATACCCCGCCGCTGTCCCTTTCGTAATATGTCCATCCGCGTCGATACTTCGCCTATCAAGACCTTCGCAACTCCCTGGCTGATAGAGGCCTGGATGTCATGTTCCCTGATCATCCTGGTAAGGCCTTCTCTAAGCCCTTCAATTTCCAGACCACTTGGGATGCGGCGGACAAGGTTTATAGGGTCAATAGCAGTGCCTGCTTCGGCCAGCAGTCCACGGATATACTCGGGTTTATCCATCGAGAAGGATAACAGGTCCTCCCAGAGATCTGGGTCATCTTGAGACTTTGCGAACGAGATGGCATACGAGACGTCTTTGAGATCTGATAGGATGAGGTTGAGGGCGCGTTTTGTCTGGCCTGTTTTGGATAGGAGATATATGAGTTCTTGGGTATAGTGGCGTGATTCACATATCGAGCTTGCAGCGCTGTATGAGTATGATGTGCTCGATTGGAGGAACTCCATTAATAACGGGCGATCATACTCTGCGAATAACTCGACCACTATATCAGCGAGGCCATCAATTAGAGCTCGTCCTTCGTCGGCCGCAAGTTTCTCTGCTGCATCCGTTCTCTGATGACGGAATCTACCTGGCTTTGCTGTGACCGATGATGTAGCATCACCTCGCCAAAGAGCACGTAGATAGAAGAAAAGGAAGAGCTGACGGTTAGCAGCCTGCAGCTGTGAGACAACAGCTTGTGGACCTACAATACCTTTGGCTGCCTCTCGTACCAGAAGCTTGATGGGTTCTGTTGTGGCAGCATCTAGGTCTTCTATGGAAGCAGATTTCAATAGTTCTTTCGAGACTCGTATGAGCACGAAACTTGGGATATCATCCGCAATTGCATCTAACAGATGATATTCACGAATTAATGCCATTGCAGTCTCATCATCCTGGAGACGAATGTAGCAACGGAGGGCCTCTCTGTAGCGACCTTCCGAAAGAAAAAGTTTCGCTAAGCTTTCTGTCAAAATCTGCCAATCAGCTGATTCAGGGACGATGGCTTTCGACTTCAGCTGATCCTCTATAGCAGCCGTGAGGCTAGAGATTTCAAAGACATCCGTAGGCCATAACTCAAGCAGTTCCTTGAATCTGATTCGATCACGGGAGAGGTAATGACCCAAGATAACTTCGTAGATTAAAGATGGGAGTGGGGGTCTGATGTCAATTGGAACGTAATTTGTTATTTCGTCGAACTTGCTGTTGCGTGCGAAAATCCATATCCAATGTTCCCATCTAGCTGTGGTCCTAAGAACTTTCCCGCATACTTGTCCAGCTCTTTCCCATTTCTGTTGGTTAATAAGTTGCTCTAACCAACATTCCCCAATACGGCGTTTTTCCTTGTCTACTTCAGTGTTTGATGCACGACCGACGCTCTGAACAGATGAATTATCGTCAGCAAAGAAATCAGCTAGTGTGCTCTGTAGCTGAGTCGGTGTAGAGGGGAGGCTTTCTGTCCTTTCTGAGGAAGCAACTGCAGCTTCTGGGTACTGGTTAATGAGCTCCCATGCTTCCTCATACTTTTCATGGCTATTCAACCAAATCAAACGATCTGCAATACCCCTTTTTACAGCGATGATACAGTCGTAAGGGCTATGGATGAATATCTTGACTGCTCTGGCAGCTGTAACAGCTAATTCCTTCGCTTGTTTATCGCTCACTGATAAACCCGAAGAATATACAGAACTGCCTCCACGAGTACTTGAACCTTTATCCCCACTACTCTCATTGCTCTGGACACTGGCGGCAGAGCTAAATAGGCGCGTAGGATGTAGGGTAGCATCCCAAAGTCCAGTGCCTATAGACTCGAGAGTGCCCTTCTGTGCTGCGGGTGGAGGTGCTCGATTGGGAGGCAGCACACCAAGATGATAATCTGACGCGGAAAACGTTTGGTACTTTTTGACACAAAGGGTATCCGCGCTAAGTTCCTCTTTTGTTTCAACATCGATCAATCTGAGTTCAGGCTCGAGACCGTTTTGCCTATGACGAATCCCGCGCCGAGAGCCCGCCGCCTGCTTTGCTGTGGATTCGCCGTTGTCTTCATCCGGGATTATGTATGAAAGAACAAGTAGCAAATTAGGGGTATAGAGCGAAACGCCGGAAATAATGCAGTCAGTGCGTAGTCTACAGTCTCGTTAGCATGTTTTATAGTCGGCAAGGAAATAAAGGAATGTGGCTAACATTGTTGCGACTTCCACGGAACCGATCTTCCTTTCTCCAACATCCATACCCGTGCCCGATTCACCCGATGAAACATTGATAATCCAAACTGTGCCACCCCAACCCACAACAAGTTTTTCCATTGTTTTCTGATTCCTACCGTCCTTCAGGTGTGTACTTCCATGACTATCCTCAAAATCCATAGCATTCTCGTCCACCCACTCAGCCCGTGGTTTCCACACACTTGCCATTTCCTCCCATCCCGGCCGATTTGGGCGATCAATATGGCTCATACGTTTCCAGGCAAAGTGAGAGTCTAGGCTCTCAAGATGTAAATTGGTCCTCATTATTTTGATTCCCTCTTCGTTGACCCACATTACGTATTTTCCAGAAAGGGACCATTTTATGGTGCTTATGCAGCCTTCTCCACTATGCAACACAGTGTCCTTGCCATTATTTCCACCCAGGCCAAGGGAGCCAAGCCAGCTTGAGGGGTTGGCTGTAGTGCCGCCAATAACAGTCGAATTTGATTTCATCCCGATTCTACCCCCTGTTGTAAGAACCAGAGTTCCTGCAAGTCCTCCAGAAATGAATGTTTTGTCATGTTTGTATTCCGGAGACAGTGCTACGGCTTGAACAGGACGTCCAAAATTGCGTAAAAGGACGTCTTTTGGATCGAGTAGTGAAGAGACACAGACATTTCCGTCTATGGAGGAAGTGGCAATGTAGACTGAGTTCGAGGGAGTTGCTGGGACTGGAGGTGGATGCTGAGCTTTCGAAGGCTCTTTAATTTTCTGAGGAGATAGAGATTTAAAGCTATCGCTGGAGGGTTTTACAAACGTATCTTGCCTTGATATAGACAGGGGATATGAAAAGGGGCATATCGAGATGGAGGAGACAGTGGCGGAGTGCGCATGGTAAACACGAAGGATCTGGAAAGAGGGTACGGATAAAACATGCTATGGAAAATCAGCAAAAAAAAAAAAGATTGAGTTATTGGCCATCGAATATCGCATACAATGTTTCCGTTGTGCGTCCCAACGATCTATATAGAGGTCAGCAATATCCCTGTTATTGTGAGCTACAGATCAAATGATGAATAACGGACCATTTTGTCTCCCGTGGCAAGGAAAGTGCTTGTAGCATCCCCATTTCGGTACACTGAGCCAATACTTTTGGTCAATGAAGCATATTTAAGTCGGGGTTCTTCGTCCTCCTCATCCTCATCCTCATTCTCCTCGTCCTCCTCTGATTCTTCGCTTCGAGGGTCATCGTCGTCCTTCGAATCTATCTCGGGAGGTGAGCCTGTTGATGGAATACGACTTGCATCTTGCACCGGCAACTTCATGGCTCCCCCATCGATCTGTGATTCTTTTGTGTCATCTACCTCCATACCGGGAGCTCGCTTTGACAGCACTAAGATACCATTTCCCAGTTCAATGACGGAAGGTTTGGACTTAACTAGTTAACTTAGTTAGGACGAGGTTAGATGACTAAGCACCAATTATCGGAAATTTGTATTTCCAGCTCAAATCGCAAAAAAAAGTTCCCTGTTCGCGATGTTCCTCACTTGGGGAATAGAGGAGGGTATCCCGGGTCGAAAAGCCCGTCCTTTACGTACTGGTAATAATTAACAATGCCAGTAATTACAACCTCAACCAACTCTCAATGACTGGATTCCTATGATAACGATGCTTTGATGTGTCATTTGTTGCCATGTTTGCACGCCGTTTTGTATGTTCCGCCTGTAGGGCAACTCTCGAAAAACCAATCTTCTCACAGTGTGAGCATACACTTCCCTCTTCACTACATTCTCGCATCTCTCCACATTGGCGGAAAAAGTTTTTCTCGTCTACAAATGACCATCAGCCATCGGAGACGGAGTCAGTTTGGGAGGAGCTTGGCGTACGAGAGCCCAGAAAACAAAAACGAAAGCCATCCAGGTTGCCCGCCGATAAAATATTGTTACGGCGTGTGGCCGTTGAAGCACAGCGATCGAAAGAAGGGATGCGACAGATGACTCAGGCGCCGGAAGAAGACCCATCAAAGTTAAAGGTGGCACTCTTAGATTCGTGACCTTTATTTATTTATTTATTTATTCAGTTGCTAATTTTGTCTGCAGACGGTGACTGCCTACGCGGTTGCTGAAACATTTGATCTCGCGAAAGCCACACAAATACTTCTTGCTAAAGGATATAAGCCGGACCCGTTTAAAACAGACTTATATCCTCAGGTTGTCCACGTACAGGTACCCCTAGACTCACTTCGCAAAACTACCAACCTGTCCGTCTCTGATCTCCCGGCTGATGAAGTCGGCGATATTTTTATATTCCCTTCCGGCACATTTGTTGCATGGGGCCTTCCTGATAGCTTTACCTCATATCTGGCCACATCTGTACTGCTGCCAGCTGCAGAAAATCCACACGTTGATTCGATGGAGACTGAAGACCTTGACTATATTGAAGATCCCCTGAAGGAGAGCAGCTATATCAAGGGCGATACTATAACTATAGGCACAAAAATGAGCCCAGATAGCCACGATTTGCGAAATAATGATAAGGAAGACATGGCTAAAGTTTCAACTAAGATTGCCTTTTCGTCCGGACTAGCCCGGAGCACCAAATTAGCCGTTCTCGAAACATTGCTTTCAAATTATTTTGAGTCAACCCGCAACATCCCAACGCTTCTTTCTAGAGGCACTCGCCTCCCGTTTACTCGACGCTTCGTCCTGCAAAAGACAGGACAGCTCCTTAGCGTCAGAGCCCAACTGAATCTCTATTCAGAGCTTACAGACTCCCTCCCCGATCTTTTCTGGGATAGTCGCCACGAACTTGGCCTGGAAGGCTACTATGACCAGGTTGGAAAGGCACTGGATGTAGGGATTCGTATCAAGGTGCTTAATGAAAAGATGGATTATGCCCAGGAGATTGCTAGTGTCCTTCGTGAACGGTTAAGCGAAACTCACGGACTAAGACTTGAGTGGATTATCATCGTGCTTATTGCAGTCGAAGTGGGATTTGAAGTCCTGAGATTGTGGAAGGAGAAGAAGCAGCAAGAGCAAGAAACTAAAGGCGCTACAAAACTCCCTGTCGAGTGAATTGATATAAACAGCAAAACTCAAGAAACCAGATTCGCGAGTCACCAGCATGGGTTTAGAATTTGGGGTCTACTGTTTAACTAAAACATCGCTCCCATCATCTTCATTTGAGACATTTTACTTCTGCATAATACCGACACAGAACATGGTTAAGCGGCATTAGACATATGAAATTGGTTAATGATCATATTTGCGGATCGAATATGTAATAATGTATATATCTACACTTCAAACCATTTTCTGAAGGCTAGCTAGTATTTACCGAGAATTATCAGAGATTTGAGGTTCGTGATTGGCTCCCTCCTGCTTTCTCGCCAGTGTTACGATTCGATCCCACCACCAGCCCCAACTGAGTCGCAAGAGCAACTACATCCCCTTGCTCATCCATCACTACTACCTCAATATCTGTCCTGCCGTCACGGACAACTTTCGTTGTGATTCGACTGTACAGCCACTCCACTCCACCTTTTGGCAGCGGTTTCTTGAAATCGATGTGTAGCGCAATGGTTGGGAACCAGAAAGGCGGCTCACTTCCCATTTGCTTAGCCGTCATGATTTCTAAATTGCCCAATGCAACGGGAAAAATATCCACAAGATACGCCAGGGCTTCACCGGTCCATCTTCCCAAACCCCCTTTTGGCCCATTTGGTCGTAGTCTAGCCCACTGATCGGTGATAGCTCGTCGTTCGTCCAATCGAGGGTCTACTGGTTCCCAAAATTCCGAGTTGCTCGATGCGCGCCGGAATTCAGGGTAACACAAAATCGTTTTCTTCCAGGGACTGCCCGGAACGAGTTGCCCATTGTGGCCTGGTGAGAATTGTGGGGCCTTGGAGTCTGGCGGTGGCGGATATACCGTCCAACTACACGGCGCTGATACGCCGGCTTCTGACACTGGGTCCGAGATCGTCACGAACCCGGTCACTTTGTCAATTTTTTTACCCCGTGATCCCGTGGGGAATGATGAGTCCGCTTGACTCATCGTCACTTGTATCGTTGATATCCTCGCACCTAACTTTACATCACGTACTGTTAGGAAAGCTGGCCCCACAAGTGATCGCCGGAGGAAAGACAATTGCATATTGATTGGCCTTGGTTGGGAGGAGTGGTAAGTTGGATGGGCGTTCTGGAAATGGGTTATTGCTAGCCGGTATAGGATCGCGGTTATATAACCCCCATTTGCCGCTGTCGAAATTTGAGTTTAGCAGCAGTCCATTTACTCAATTTTGCTTCGGGAAAGCCGTATGATATGTGTATCATCGGTTGATCCAATTTCATTGGTTAGGAGAAACATACCATTACCAACAGCCCATTCCCTAACGAGATTAGCTGAGTAGGTATGAGAAGACACGGGTGTAATCTTGATCGCATCTTCGAATGCTTGCGTGTGGGCAGGGGGGGTCATCTTCGAATATTCTGTTTCCACTCCCCTTCTTGGTTTCTGAACCTTCAGAATACTTTTTAATATGTAATATTTTGTTCCACAAATTTTCCTAATGTCTCCTGTGTCGCTCCACGGATGATATTTCAATTTGGTCTGGTGACATATTTATATCTTTTCAAATGGAGAGCTAAACGATTATCGGGCTCGTAGGCACGTCCGATCCGAAATGTTAGGCTCGGCATAAGTCCGCCACACCAGGTGAAACTACCGGTCCATCATTTTGTCAAGTTGCATGCTATATGGGGGGCATGGTTCCGGCAAAGATATAGCAAGTTCATTCAAGTCCGTTGCCTCAATGCCTCGGCTAAACCACCAGCGCTTAGCCAATCACTAGGCGGCAAGCCAACCAATAGATTACCTTGACTTCATCTTGCGATTCGGGAGATGGTTATGATGATCCCGACAAACCCTCCAGCAGGGGGTACGGTGGTTTCGGTTTGTTGACTTCTTATGGAATAATGTATTCACTAGATAGCACCTCGTCGTTTCGCGTCATTTTATGTGATGGAGATGACTCATTCTTCAGCAGGTTCCATCCATCCACTTTGATTGGCTCCAGCCTTGGAACCAATCGAGTTCCTGGTGGTTTGGTTCTATCATGCAGCTAATTCGCGGAAGCTGCCTGACACTGCTAAATTCATCCGCCAAACGTCTTGAAGATATCTTTGATCAAATATCTGGTGCCCAGAGATAGTTAGTTATACACACATACAACATCGTGATGATGAAAGAGACATTCCGGAGTGCGTTTGACATAGTTTCACGTTTGCCAAAGGTCAACCTTCCCTCTCCAAGAACAGTGCTGCAATTTGCGCTAGGAACCTCACAAATCCAGTTCTTGAATGACCAGCCCATCCGCCAAGAAGCAAAAGTAACAGACTTCCAGTCTTGTCCAAATCCACCGCAGCTCAGCTGCAAAGTTGATTTTATCTCGCAAGACAGGTGTTGCTTCAATTATCCTGGCGGCCAGTTATTGCTAACCCAGTTTTGGGACGCGGATCCTCCAACTGGCCCTGCAGAGGAATGGACAATCCATGGGCTTTGGTAAGCTTTCCGTTTAACTTCTATCTTCTAGGTAGAGCAATATTTGAATTAACATTTTATCATCTCCCAGGCCAGATCATTGCGATGGGAGTTATGACCAGTTCTGTGATGCCAATCGCCGCTTTAATAATATATCGTCAATCATCGAGGAGAGTGGCCGAGTCGAACTCTTGGCCTTGATGAAAACGTACTGGAAGGATTTCCGTGGCGATGATGAGAATCTATGGGAGCATGAGTGGAATAAGCATGGGACTTGCGTTAGTACCCTGGAGCCCAAGTGCTACCCAGATTACGTGCCGCAGCAGGAGGTTGTGTCATATTTTCAGAAAACGGTTAATTTGTTTCTTGGATTGCCTTCTTACGATGTGAGTTCGTCAAGGGTGGTGTCCCTGAAGATGGTTTGAGAATAAGGTTTGGGTTTCCCCTATTGACATATATATTTTGTGACCACCTAGATCCTTTCTGCTGCTGGTATCCACCCATCAGACACCGAAACATATGAACTCGATGCTATTGAGAAAGCTTTAAAGACTGTACATGGCGTGGATGTGGTTGTCAGATGTCGAAATGGCGCACTCAATGAGTTATTTTATCATTACAACATTGCTGGGCCGTTTGAGTCGGGAAGATTCGTCCCCGCAGCTCCAGGTTTGCCCACCTAGTTCCAAATAAGCATTCTAGAAAACCTTTCGTTTACTAATATGGTGTGAGCACCTGAAGTCGGAGGATCATCCAATTGTCCTAAACAAGGAATCCGTTACAAGCCCAAGAAATCCCCTAGCAGAACCATTCCCCTGCCAACTGGGGTACCTCCAATTGGAATCCCGTTTGTTGGTAAGGGTAACTTGATGGTCAAATACTCGGGAAGACAACATGGCTGTATCATCAGTCGCGGTTATTGGTTTGTGTCAGGGACATGCGCAACGTTTCGCACGTTACCGGCTTCCGAAGGTTCGTGTCCGATTCATTAAATTCTTAATTTTGCCTCATGTTGCTACTGGATATGGTTTCCAGTCTCTAATCTAGGACCCCATACAAACAGATTCCTTCTTTCTCGAATCAAGTAAGGGCCTCTGCGCCTTCAATGGTGATGATGGTTTCGTTTGTGATGCAGATGTAGATGAGCCAACGGCTTTTACGGTAAGTTCATTCTGTTCCTTTCTTTCCATGCCATATTCTCCCCAAAAATTTATTGATGTGGTTCTTTTGTTAAACACACTAAATCGTTACATGAATTACTCCAGTCATTAGATGACAAACTATCTCTGAATGATAAAACCGTATTTTACGCCGACAGTGTCCCGAAACGACAAGTGCAGGGCTCTATATATGAATCACAAGGGCAACACCTGCTACCCCTAGAGATATACTGGCGTGAGGTTTAGAATTTGAAGTTCTTCATCCACTTTGATTTTTGTTGGTTTTACTACACGACTATGGTGTTTGGGTTTATTCTCAGGGTTTTCAGCGTGAATGAGGGTCCGCAATCTCTAAACATATATACATACATTTTCCTTCTAGAAATAATATTCATTATAGAGAGCAAGAAACATTTTCAATTCCAGAGTCGCTGGAACTGAATTCTTAGCCATCACTGATGAGGAGAATAATGTACATTGAGTCTATATAAGAAACTCTGATTTCCTAGTTGATTTGAACTCACTCACTTCCCTTCTCCTATCTTCCTTTCTGTAGAGATGCCCGTAATTACCTTGAGAGCCAGATCGTGGTTTGAGTGTTCACTGAATAAGCTCGATACTGAGCTGGAGTGTTTGAAGGTTGTGAAAATGATTGACATGAGCAGTTCCAATCCCACCAACCAGGATGACGTTGAGCCTTCCAGCCCAAGTGTTGCTGGCGGGATCCAAGGTAGGCACTCTTCATTCAAGTGAAGATCTTCTAGCTAATCTGCTGATCGAAGATGCGATGTCTTCTCCAGATTCAACTGCGCCAGACCTCAGGCACCGCAAGGAAGCCTCAAGTAAGGTGACTCCACAGATGTGGTATTCTACCAAGCTGAAGGACCGCGCCCCACCAACTCGAAAGTCAAGGCCTATAAAATGTGAATGCTGTTGAGTGAGAATATACCAAAAGCTGATACAGCCAGAGGTGTCAGTGAAGTAGGCCTTGAACAGAGATCTTGATGCCCAGGGGCGAGCACAGCAGGTGGTATTATCTATATGTCTCTTGAGACTGCTATAGCTGTACACGTCTACAGTTATAATTCAAAGACCAAATAGTGGAAGCTAGCGTTGCAACTGTATTTACATGAAACTTGTTTGCTACTGTTTAATATATCTTAGACACAATAGATGAGTTCAGTGAAATGAATGATTAGAACTTAAAACCCCTTTCTCTTTAACACAAATCTCTCCATTAGACCCGAACCGAATATACATGCTTAAAAGGCTGCCAAAGCTCATTGGTTGGCATACTGGGGAGGAACATCTAGGGATAATTCCTGACAAAATTCTGGCATTGTGTGCCTTGCTGTTGTCAACATTGAAGGACATTGTTTGCAAATGTTATCAAATCACTTTGAAGAAACCATCTGGCTTATATCTCATGAATTGGGTAAAGCCACTCATTGCTAAACATAAAGACACTGCTCACATCTGTTATATCTTCCTGCCAAGCCTTGATTAACTGCTCTGCTTGTTTTCTTTGCACTGCAATGCCTTCACTACCACAGTAGTTCCCAACAAACATGCCTTCGTTTTATTGGGAGCCCAAGTTGCCGGGGATTCTGCAAAGAGAGAGCCGTAGGTATTCCACACCTGACTAAATCCTCACACAATTTCCTCTGTGATAAGAAGTCATCCACAGATATGGGTGCCGAACACTTAACCCCTTCAATATTGTCTCCGGAAGTCTCACTGCCTATACTGCATAGCTTTTCTGTATCTGCTGCCAATTCTGCCACTGTCTTGTACTCGCCGAACCAGCATCTTCTGATTATGGAGTCAATCATTGGCACCTGGTTCAAATCTGGAAATATCATCATTTGTAGCAGATCCATGACAAGAGGCCCATGCTCCTTACCAGAGGGATCATCGCCAAAACATTGATCACCATAAACCTCAAATCCATAATTTATTAGATAGAATAATGAACCAAGGGCAAATTGCTCAGTTCGCGGGCCAAGCAGGCCTGCAGTTCCTTGGAAGGGCCCACCTTCACTACCAACCAGTCGACCGTATGGTACAATGCAAGTTTCGAATTGTGATCCAATGTGAGTGGTGCTGTCAAAATCTGAAAGCTTAAGGCGATTGCGGTCAAGCAGAATATTCTCAGGTCTGAGATCACCATGCGCAAGGTTTAGGGACTCGAGAAAAGCGACGCCATGAGAAAGATCACTCATCCATGACTTTCGCAGGTGGAGTGGTTCAAATTTTTCCACGCTAATAACCCGCATTGTTTCATGGTCCCGGATGTGATTTTGTTGAATTCGCCAGGAAAGGCAGATATCTCTCATATATTCAAGAAAGATACATTCGTTGGTGTGCAAGAAGCAGGATATCACATAGGGACATGGCGGATGATGTGAGAGAATGTTGAAGATCTCAACCTCTTTGCGAAACTGTTCTCTCTCTTGGTCCCCAGCTTTCGGTACCTTTACGACAATGAGAGGATTCACCTCGTACACATAGCAGTTGGCTCCCTCGCTGACCCAGAACAAATCATCCAGCTGGCGCTCGAGGCTCATAGCACTGGTAATGCCCGAAATTGCCGAAAATGTGGTTCCAAATTGACGAAAGGTGGAGGTAGCCGGAGCAGCTGGATGTCAAGTTGACGACAGATTTTGCAGAACAAATTCTACGAGGTTGGGAATTTTGAATCAACTGAAGTTCGTTAACTAGTTGACTTAACTTAGTTAATGCAACTAAATCCACAAGCGTGCAGAACACACATGCAAACAAACCACTTTTTTTGACTTAAGTCAAGATCAGATATGCCTTCAAGCTTCAACTATCAAGAAAATAAGATTAATTATATTATGAATTATTTCCTGTACACCTAGAGCATGCACAGGCAGTATGTTCAGTAATATCACATATTACACTGTGGTGCTAACTGCTTTTGTGGTTGAGACTCAGTAGTCTTATCTATTTATAAATATTATTTATTGAGCTAAAGATTCTTTTTCGATAGAGATTAGTTTTTGATAGATTGATTGAGAATTTATATATAAGAATTGATCATGTAGTCAATTAACAAGAGTAGAGTGAGAAACATTATAAATCTTTGCAGTAGCTTAGATACTATTGATTTATCTGACTTTACATGCTGTCAGCTAGAATGAAGTTTTCCTTCTTTATTTGAAGTTTGATTCCTCATGATTATTGAGAAATTCATATTTGAATATTGATAATTTGCTGAGAGAGAAAATGGGATCAACTCAGTGATGTGGCCAACTCAGAGATCACTTATGTTAACTAGTTAACAAGTTAACTTCTGAGCTGAGTTAGTTTGCTCTAATGACTGAGAAGCGAGCTGGTACACTAGTTTAGTATGAGAAAATCCCTAGGACATAACTACAAGACAAACACACTCAACACCAAACTTCGTCGCTTTAAATACCTCACCACTCCGTGACGCCTTCATCAATACCCTTCCGTAATGGAAAGAAGAATTCCATATTAGCAGTTGAAACAAAAATAATCCAATTTCAAGCAATTGAGCTGCAGCAAAGCTGTACGATATTCCTCATTTCCATTCTGACAGGTACGCGATCGTACGGCATGGGTCGATATTCAAAAACGATACACCTCCAGAAACAACACAACCAGTTCAAGTTTATGCCTTCTGCCACTGTCCCTCTACTTTCACCCAAGCTTTCCGAATAATGCAGTCAGGGCAAGGATTCCTTTTAGTGGTCTGGCCCAAGTAGAATTTTTTGTAAACTGTCCCACAACTGCCGCAATCCAAGTATTCAATGACGTCTCCAGGGGAGTCGATTACATGTTGGCATTCATGGACAATTTTTGTCAAAAGACGTTGGCACATATTGTTTTCTATCCAAACTGTTAGAGCCAAAATGAACAAAAATAGTTCTTAATTAATTCTTAGATGGCGGCGGATTCTGACCTTGCAAGTGACTAACTCGTCGAAGTTCCGTGTCGTTTAAATTGGGGTGTTTTATATTATTTAATTTCTCTGGGCGATTATGGTGTTGTCCTCGGCATCAAAATGTCATCGAGCAGATACCAATGGATATTTAAAGTTGTTGGAGGCGCGGTTTCTCTGTCAACCGCTGTAAAGCTCTCAGACTGCAATTCAAATAAGATTTCACCGACTGACGAATCCCTGCGGAGCTTCCACCTCCAAGCTGAAAGTGATGAGGTGCCTCTCAGTCACAGTGCATATGAGTGACGTACGCTATTGGTTTAATGAGCAAAAACAATAGGGTTCTCCGAGTCATATATCCCTCTCTGTGCAGGTCTGCTCCCTGCACATAAACTTCTCGGGGTGAAGAAGAGGGTCACTCATTATTAGGTCTCAATCTGGCACCATAGATTCGGAAACGCTGACTGGAGCAACTTCAAACAATTCGGCTGAATGGTTCCGGCGCTGCTGTTATACCTGTTGATATGTGACTAAACCAGGTTAGCAACCTCTCTTCTTTGTTTTGTTGATGAGGTTGCAAGCAGTGCCCTCTCTATCTTAGGCATTTAACTTTGACAAGCACATGCCCAAGACTGGAAATGTTTGTCCAATAGCCTTTGCACCAAGACACTGCGATTTACATTGGGCCACACTTACAAGACAATATCAGAGCATTCTTCCGTTAGGCATCACTGTATGAAGTCTATCCTTGTAGATTTTAGCTGGCTTCTGCATGCACACCTAAAATGGTAAAAGTAAGCGGCGGATCTAAAACGACTGCTTGAAATACGAAGCTAAGGAGGTAACAGAGTCCGAACTGCAGAGGAGTTGCCGATGAAGCGTTATGACAGACGACCAATCCAGGGAGCAGCTTATCAAAACTTCCTTTTTTGGGCTTACACTTGGATGAGTTTTCATTGATAAAAATAATCAAGTATGTTTAAATAGCCAAATACATAGCACAAAGATGACTCTAGAGTCGCAGGAATTAGAGGAATATAGTATCTTGATATCTTGGTGACCTGCGTGGTTGGGTGACATTCCATAACTTACCTTGTAGTGTTTGTCCTGTTTATCTTACGGGTGGTTAACTAGTCAGTTAAACTGGGGCTCAACATCCTCAGCAGATGAAATAAGAAGAGCCTGAGCTTCTTCTCTGATTAGGCCTCCTTCACTTTAAAATCTGCCGCTAGATCTCCTGCATTTTCACTTCTCTTTCTCATTTGCCGCAGATATGTCCTGATATCACTTCTTCATAATGATGGCACTGACCATCCCATATTTACAGGCCTTGATAATTTGATCAAACCCCTGCACAAACACTTCGAGTTTTATCACGTGACACATCACAACCAAATGTTGAACGTCTGAAGTGGTTGTATTGGTAGCCTATCTCAGGGATGCTATATACTATTGTGCGGTGCGCTAGTCCATAATAGGAAGCCTAGGCTCCAACACCTCCCCTTGGACTAGCTATTATACAGACTAGCTACTGTCCTGCTCAAATCAATCATTTCCATCTTCACTGTCAATCCATCTTGTCTTTCAATTGCTGTATCCATCAAATCCTTTTCTTATTTCACCTATAACCTGGCTGACTTCTAGAAAGTTCTTCAATATTTGGAGAACTTATTGTAAAGAATATTTGACTTGATTGACTTGCAAGTAGATACTCTGTATTTCTATCTTTGCTCTTATTTCTATTCTTAGTCTTATTTCTATTTCTATTTTTCAATATCTTAATGCACTTCTTATTATGCTTCTGTCATTCAGTGCTTGTGAGATTTAAGTTCTTGAATCAGCAGTGTTTGATTATATGCTCTGTATTCTCATAGTAATGACATTGGCATTCATCAAATCATTTAGTGACAGCATTCATGGCAGATGGGTTGGGGTAAGTTGTAGTGGTAGTGACACAAGTAGTCAACTGATCCATCAATTCATCATGATTCAGATTTTGAATAGAGTTCTACTTAGTGATATAGAAATCATTCAGCTTCATTCTATCAAATTTCTATTGTCAGTCTATCAGTTCTAGTATGAATAGATCATGATAGATATTCTCAGCCCAATTTTCACCTGGAGATATAAGTTTTGTCTTTAAATCTTGAAAAGTTGCAAGATAGATGTGAAAATCATTGTTTTTGAGCTATAAGTCTTTCAACTTCTTAGTGATTTGAAAATGTTCTTCAGCATGAGATATAGTGTAGTACTAAGCAAGATTCTTCCATATAGTGCTGCTAGATAAAAATCTTCATTCAGTGATTCTAGAGAATCACATATAGTTGCATTCAAAAATTAAAAGATTTTTATATAATAAAGTTTATTTTTTTTATTTCAAAGCTTAATTTTCAGAGAAACTGTGGTAGAAGATGCTGTTTATTATTTGTTGAGAACATCTTTTATCTGAATCAAATAAGCATCTGCAAGAATAAAGCTCTTTCATTTCAGATAATTGACTTCAGTGAGAATGACTACATGTTTTTCTTTTAATTTAATCTTTATATCTTTGTGAAATTCATCAACTTTATTCTTAATGAGATTTTTAATAGTATTTGATAAGAAATCTGAATTTTTCTCTAGTCTTTATATGAATCTTTCTATCTATATATTCTGTTTTTTCATGTATTTTATCATCATTTATATCATATTCATATTGCTTTCATTCATATTTATTTCATCTCTTTAGTTAGTTTCTTCTCTAGATTCAAAAGTAGATATATTATATTCATGTTCATCTCTATTTATATTATTACTTGCAAAGGTATTTAATGATTCTGCAGCTCATGTTCTTGAAGATATCTGTTTATTTTTTTTAATTCAATCTATTTCTCATGATCAAAGTTTTTAAAATAGTTACTTTTCATTAGATTCTTACTGCAATTCAGTGATGCAGTTCTCACAAAATATTTTATGTCTTAAATTAAAAAAAAAGAAATAAAGTATAAAAGTAGTGCAGAAGACTTTTTTTAAAAAAAAAAACTATTTAGATCATAATCTGTTGAATATCTGAAGTGATTTTATTGATAGCTTATTTCAGAAATATTATATACTATTTATACAGTGCACTAATTTATAATAGAAAGTCTAGACTTTAATATCAAATAATGTAGTATTAATTTATTATTATCAGAGAAACTAATACTTAAGTAAGAAGTCAAATATTATTTTCTGCAAACTCTCTATTGATTCACACTCTTTCTTTCTTCAACTTTATAGAGAACTTCTTATCATTTTCTATCTCTATAATGATTTACCACCTTGATAAATCTGAATGTCAAATACTAATTTTTGCAATAAATCATCAGATAGAGATAGTATAATATTTAAAACATTTTTTCTATATTTAAGACTAACTTTTTATAAAAAGCAAGTTAAATAAGTTGAGATAGAGAATCAGAAATAACAGTTGAAATTCTACTCCAGTGTATGTCTAATCAGTAAAAACTATACTTTATTCATATATACACTTTTATAATTATATAACAGAGTGATATAATATTGATTAACTAAAACTATTGCAGAAGTCTTTCACTTACACTTACAATTATAAACTAAATTTAAAATCAAGTTATAAACAATATTGAAGATTAAGTACATCTCATCTTAAAGTAACTTTGACTGTCAAAAGCTTAGCTATTAAATATTTTTATATGAAAAAATAGTGTAATATTATTAACTGAAAAATAAATAATCAGATTAGATATTAATATAAAAACAATCACTAATTTAAAGAATATTTTATAATATAAATATAATATCTATTTAGTTAAATTAGATTTTAACTATTTTACTAATTTAATTAATAAAAGTAATTAATTCATACAGTTATAAAGGTTTATCTCAGAATTTTATAGTATTTAATAATCTTTTAACAAAAGATATATTTATAGTTTTAATTTTAATCTAATCCTCTTTTTCAAATTAAATAAAATAAATATTTTTCATATAACAAAATAAACAACTTAATATAGTATAAAATAATACAAAATAATATAATTATAAAATAAAATAAATTAATATAAAAAAATCTTAATAAAAGTACTATTAAAAATATATTCTTAACTTTTATAGATTAAATATTAAATTTATTTGAAATTAAAGTTCATTTTCTAGAGATAATTTTTTTTCTTTATAAATTTAATTAAAAACTTTTTTTAATTTAATATTAAATAGAAAGATTATATTTAATTGATTAAATGTTTTTCTTTTAATTTCTTTCTTATCTCATTGTTTCATAAGCAATTCATTAATATATAATCTGAATTTTTAAACATATTATAAAAATCTTATCTATCAAAGTTCGAAGAATCTCTAAATCTTTTGATATATAATTTAAAGTAGTAATATTCAAGTTTTAATTATATTATAAAGAGAAATGTTTTTTTCTTATTTTAGTAACATAGACTTTTACTTTAACTTTATTTTATATCTTACATACTAAGTACTTTTCTTCTCTTTTTCTCAGATTATTATTTATTTATTAAAATATGATTTTTTAAATCATTTTCTAAGTTTTAATTTTAATTTTTAATATTAAATCTACTTTTTTACTTTTTAGAATATTTATAAAAGTAGATATTTAAAATAAATAAATTAAAATAATTTTATTTTTAATCTTAATTCTTTTTAATACTGTTTAAATTAATTTAAAATTTATCTAATTATTTTGAATTTCATATTTCTAAAAATTTTTCAATACTATTTAAATATTTAAAAATATTTAAATATTATCAAATATTTTATTTCTAAGATATAATTTTTTAAACTATTATAAAAACCTTCTGAATTATAAATAACTTAGTATTTAAGACTTTATACTTCTTTTCTATATTTTATGAAAACTTCTCATATTCTAAATCTAATTTAAAATATTTTACTACTATACTAGCTCTTAACTATTTTGATTCACTTTTTATATCATCTGAGTATATCAGTAATGAGTTCTTTTTATTTATCTCTAAATGTTTTTAAGTATATGTAGTTTTTTTTTTTTTTTTGACAATTTACTAATAGTAATATCTATAAATAATCTTAGATTTTTCTTTTAAGAATAAAGTTTATTATAATTTATATTTTTTATATTTAAGCATGATAGTTGATTTTTAATCATAATATATATTTTATATAGTTAAAAAGATATTATTTTTTTTAAATTATTAGAGTATTTATTTCAATCTAGAAATCTTTTTCTATTTAAATCTTCTTTAGATATACTTAATTTTTTTAATATTTTATTCAGAGAGTTTTTAATGAATTTTTTTTGATTTAGAGATAGAAAGAATTTTTTTCATGTTTTAACTTTTTTCTATAGCTTTTATATATTTGATTTGATAAATTTAAATAGAAACCTTTCTGATTTTATTACTAGTTCAATAACTAGACTAGATTTTCAAGATAATTTAATAAACTAAAATTAGTTTTTTTAAATAAATTAATAAAATATAAATAAATACTTTTTAAAATACAGAAAAGGTAAAAAACTAATATTTTCAATTCTGATTAAGTCAGAAAAGAAATACTAGTTTTGATAAAAAAATTTTAATAGAAAAATTATTAAAAACTAACTGATTTTATTTATATTAAAAATTTTTTTCTCACACAACTAGTGTATAACTTAATTTTTTCAAAAAAGATATAAAATCAGTATTATATTTTTCTTTATTAAAGAAAAAATTAAATTGAATTTAAGTAAAATTTTTCTTATTTTTTAAAGAGAAATTAAAAAAAAAAATTAATATTTTA